GTACCGTCTAACTAAAGGTCAAACAGGAATATTAGGAGATAGGAAGCACACACAACATTAGCATTTTTATTTCATAAATATACTGGGTGATTTACTATAGAAGGTTGGTGAAAAGTGGGGGGAGGGAAATTGATATGATATCCTCTACTTTGAAAAGTGGGGGGAACGTGTCACCCCTGTCCTACCACCGATCGACGCCCAGGACTACATGACTAAAGCTTATCCTGCCATATCTCAGAGCCACGATGGAAAAGCGAGACTATCTATTTTGGCACTACTTAGTATTGAGCGTGATGAAGCAGACAACATTGCTAACTTTGATCAAGTTATTAACTTATTTGCTCAGGCCCGCAGGCAGAGGGGTGCAGAGGGTGCGGATGCACCCCCCCCAATTCCAAAAGGTCTACTTTTTAAAACCTATGATTTCACAAAATCGTTCCTAATTATCACAAAATGCTATAACATGCATTGCATTATATTTGCCAGCTTATCTAACCGTTGATTTTTAATAATGTGGTATGAAATTTGTTAGAAATTGATCGTCTCCGGTGATTGCAGATTGATCTATATACTATGAAGAATGTTATCTATAGGCCTGCAGATGTGCAGGACATAATAACGTTACTTTTTCAGGTCCCAAAACACCAAAATTAATGAAAATTTAAATGAAATATTCATGAATTATGTGTTTGAGAAATCTATTATGTAAGTCCCTCAAAATGCTACTTTGTCGCTTTTCTCACAAACCCCTCCAGAACTCTGCCCCTGGACCACCAAATTTCAAAAAGTCCACTTTTTAAAACGGTATTATTTCAATTAAATAGTTCCTAATTATCGCGAAAAGCTATAGTATGCATTATACATTTTTTTGCCCGCTCTTCTACCCGTTGATTTTTAATAATGTGCTACGAAATCTGTTGGAAATTATCAGCTCCAGTGATTGTAGGCCTACAGATGTAAAGGACAAGAAAAATTATAATTTCACAATGGTGGATTCAAGGGGAGAGAGCCCTCTAAAATTATAAAAGAAATGGAGAAAAAAGAAAAATCATAATTAAAGTTTGTCTGAGAGTGCCACGAGGTTGTTATAGCTATAGCTTTGTTGGGACTTGAAACAGTGCAAAAAAAAAATCACTCAAGTAGGCCTAGTAAAAACTACCTCATAATATCACCATTTATTAGTTTCCCTCACTTAGTCATCGAGTCCCCCTCTGCACCTTCGAACCCACTTCCACCATTTCGAACCCCTAGTTATGGCGCACTTCTCAAGATTTCGCCCACCCACCACCTTCCTGATGTGTAAAGCATGCCTATACAAGCGGTGCTCACAAAGAGATCAACGTAATCGGTAATCAATGTTTTTAGTGTTAAATATGGCAAAAACTAAACCCAAGACCTTTCTTAACTGTATATTGCTAAAGTTTTGCCTATTTTGTCTACTCTACTAGTGGAGCACTTCAGGCTTCATCGCTATTAAGGTAATCAAACCATGGACCTATGGACATGATCAAACCATCGAGAGGGTTTTTTTATGCATGCAAAGCAGCATATGTACTGTTTGCATGCTACATAATCAAAACATTGAAAGGGGTGTTTATGCAAAACAGCTAATACCGTCGCTTTTGTCATTCACTGGCTTTTTGGGCGGTGGAGGTTTCAAGCAATAGACAACAATTTAGTTTCCTTGAGGTCAATAAACCAAAATTGTTGGAATTAATTTATTAATCTGCATCTATTTAAGTACCATAAGTATCATAATTAGCTACTAACTTTCTTATATACTATGAACTTACAAGTAATTACCATAATTACTGGTGTGTATGTAGTCATTGATTATGGTGTGTGTGTGTGTGTGTGTGTGTATGTGTGATGCCTCTTCCACTATGGTTTAAACAGTACGCCTATTATAAAATGGAAACCACATAAATTGACGAGGCACAGGTCTTGGCATTGCCAGAGATTCCCTGTTGAGAGGTACAATATTCTTGATTGTAAGAGCAGTGGGGGGCGGGGGGGGGTGGGGGTGGAGTCTGGGGTCCAAGAAGGCTCATACCTCACCTTTACTACGATTTGAAATGTTACTCTCAGACTGTAAAAATGTATTTTCAAAGCATGTTTCCAAAAGTAATGATTGGATTTTTCCCTGTCAGGGGCCCAGGGCTCACTATTTCAGGGGAAAAAAATGCAGATTGTACAGTACGTTGCTGTAAGTGATTTCTTAATAAGGAGCTAGTTACATTATTTTTGTTTGATTATTAAAAGGTAATTCAATTGATTATTTAAAAACTGGAAGAATGAAAGTAAAAAGAAAATTTGCTCTTATGTAAATTATTTTTTTTAAACTGATTCACTTATGTCGACAAGTCGATCAAACACCTTAGTAAAATTTACAAAACAAAATGTATAGAAAGGAATGTTTTGTTGATGGTTTACAATATATGGAATGCATTGTTATACAGTAGTCAGCCTTCAGAGGGAATAAAAAATCTTTTTAACATGTTATACAACCGATTTCCCTAAGACTATGATTGATTTGTTTAATGTTAAACACCTGCATGGGTAATAAGGTAGAGATTTATAAAAATGTAAACAAACTGATGGGTAAATTTTCTTCAGTTTTTTGATATTCAAAAATCTGTGTTTTACAGTTTTAACTGCTCATAAGTTTTCATCAAACACCACCCTGTGTCTTAAAAATAAATCATTTGTAGACCTAAAACATATGAACAAAATTCTCTAAAGCCATTATTACCACTTTTTAGAACATAAAGTTGGAAAGAAAAGAAGAAAGATCAACATGGAATCTCAATCTAGTGAAGGTAAATAAAGAGAATTATCAATTTTCTTATTGTGCAAATAATTAACTTTTTACATATATGATTGCGTAGAAGATTTTCACAGAAAATACTTGACTTAACCATTATAACAGTTGTTAAAGCGATTGGCGTGTACAGTAGGCCTATATGGCATACTGTAGTTTTGACAATGATATCACTATCTGTGCAGTCTCAAGCTTCATAAATTATATCCAGGCTCCTAATTTTGTGTTTTTCCCCAGCTAACAATCCGTCATAATAACTTTTGGTAACATTACTGTTTGGTGTTCAAAGCATTTTTGTAGAACCATTACGTATTTAGAATGTAATTTCTAACTAAATAATATTAGTACGTTGCTGCAATGTGCCATTTTCTGACATTATAACCTAATCATATTATATTGCCAACGTATATTATGGCCTAATGTTACCTAATAGACTTATATAATATTAGCCGGCAAACTACCACATAATTATTTAGGTCATTAAGCAACTATTATATAGGACCTATTATAATTTGCCATAGTCTGGCTACATGACTACGTAGGTGGTGGACTTTCAAGTCTGTCAGTCTCAATGTCAGTTTTCATCCTGCATAAATCTCATGTTTCTCTGATCGATTTTTATCTGTTTAAAGTCAAAGTTTTTTTTAACGATTTATATGTGAATATCGAAACACTTATTAGTAATTTTAAAAAGAATTGCCATGTTCATTAGTACATACAGGTATATAATAAATTATAATGCTGTTTTGATATTTCTTTATATCTTTAACGCATAGAGACAAATACAAAATGTTATGTTATTGCTCAATGTGTCATGAAATGAATAAATAAAAAGTTAATCTTCAACACCCTTTCTTTATTTGTTACAAGAAATGTTAAGAAGTTTTTTTTTTATATCAAAATCTGACTGAACGTAGGCTAAAAGTCTTAATATATATCCAGAAAATATCCCAAAGAATCACTTTCTTTCACAGCTCGATATATTGATGTTGAAATATTCAAGCTTTATGTACAACATTGAACACTGATAATGATCAAAGCACTGACAATAAATTCTAATGGCAATTAAAAAAAATAATTAGAAAACAAACCAATGCCATAGTAGCCTACAACATTGATTATGAAGACAGTGATGAACAAATGGTATGGAAATTACTGATGAGGGGGATAATTATGATCATGCTTTTAAAGGAAATGGCAATAATGATGTTGATACTACTAAGTATTATGATGATGATGATATAATACAGTAGAACCCTTATTATAGGGAAACCTTCCAGACCCAAAAGAGTGAAACTCTATTACAGGTGTAACTGAATACGGGCTGACGTTAGTGTTTAAAGATATGCATTCCCACGTTTCGTGGTCAAAAAAATGTCCCATTAATAACGGTGTCCCAAAAGAGGGGTTTACTATATTTTAATAAATATTTTATTAAAATAATGATGATGATAATCTGATGATGATACCAATTTGAGGTTGATGATGATAATAAAATGACAATGAAGACAATGATGCTTATTTTGATGATATTAATGATTACAAAGATTACGATGGATAAATATGACTACATTATGTTCTACATATTTTTCCTATTTATATTTTCATATATATCTGGTCCAAATGTTGTTGATATTATATTTTTATATATTTTGTAATATTGAGTTTTAGATTTATTGTGTTTATGACAAGTCCTTTGTTTGTTTACTACTTAGTAGTCTCTCCTAACACTTTCAACCAGCTGTTGTGGATTGTCAGTAAATTTTATGACCAGTGTGGATACGTTAGTATGCTGAAAGTTTTGTACAGAGACTGTTTGTCAAATACTCAATTAGATAGATCTTCATCGACAAAGAACCTGTTGGATGCGTTGATTGTTTCTGGTGTTCTGAATTCAAGCGATATCTCTATCCTCTTTGATACCATAAAGGTTACAAACTCATTTGGTTTGCTATATCAAATTAAAGATACTATTATGCCATCATTGCCAAATATTAGGAATAAAATAATCTCAAAATTCACAAGCCACAGGCAAAAAATCATTAAGTTTGGAATGTCACTGTTTTACGAACATGTAAATATGATCGATAAATGTTATAATGTATTACTGAAAAAATATGAAGACCAGTGGAGTATGATTAGTGATCTAGAAAACCAAATGATAATTTGTGAAAGTAAGATGGCGGAATTCATTGACCGTTTGGAGCGTCAGGGACTCTTTCATGCGGTTGAAGCTCTAACAAAAGGTATTATCAATATCATTTTACTGTAGCTGTTAATATTATTGTTAAAATATTATATAATAAATAAATTTCATTTAATCCAAATGAAAACAAATCAAAGAAGATTGTTTATAATTATTATTTCTAATGTCATATTTCTCTCACCATAGCATGCTAGTTAGAGTACATTGATTTAGGGTTGTGTCAGGAAAGCGATTCATGAGTTTGCTGGGTCATGCAAATGAAGATGATTTTCTTTTTGCGGCTATCTACAGGCAATTAATACTATCTGATTGAATAAATACCCTTAATTTGTTTTGAGCATTAAACGTAAAATATCTTAGTGTGACTGTCTTAATTGGAGTGAGTGATCGCAGATTCATACTTGACAAATTAGCTACAATTGAATTATATTAAACTCTAACAAATTATTTTATTTTGTCCTATCGTGATTAATTGTAAGCAATAACATTGGTGATGCTATAATAATATTATAAGTATAATCATGTTTACAATAGTATAGGTAGCGCCCTCTATCTACTAATCGTATTAGTACTCTTTTACATTGCACCTGACCGACCGTTAAGTAGGGTCCAAGCGCAGAGTATTGTAGCCACACTTCCCTCGCTTGAATTTAGGGTATTTAGAAACTACCACTCGTAGGACCGAGCAAAAGTGTGTAAGGTCTAAAAAAAAATCTTTGTCATCTCGATTATTCCTGCAGCTAAGAGCCAATAATGGCCAAGTTCCAAGTTATGCATTTTATTACCAAAGCATGAAACTTGACACAAAATATCCATGATGTTTAGGCCTATATTTAAAAAAAAAATAGAAAAATAAAAAAGCAGTGCAAAGTTTTGACATCTACCAATTCAAAATGACCACCTACTAGATACAAGGGGTCTTGGCCAGAATACCGAAACCCAGTTTGCCGAATCCCAGATTGCTGATTCCAATTTGCCGAAAGCCAGTTTGATATTGACAACTGAAAAATGCGAAACCAACTTTGCCAAATCCCATTTTACCGAATGAATTTTAAAGAAACATTAAAATTTTCGGTAGCATAAAATTAATTCACTATTAAATCGATGGCACCAGGCGTGGCGTCGACAGAGTTGACTGGGCGAATTGGAATTCCGCAAACTGGTTTTAGACGGACTGGTTGGATACGGATACAATATTTCTTTGCTGTCGTCAGTTACACGGACCTTACCCCAAAATATTTATTAATATTTCCTTTGAATGGATCCATTCAGGCATATTAACTCATGAACAAATATATACGTATAGTCCAACCAGCTCATGTAGGGCGAAAAACCTAGGCCTTGGTTAAGAAATTTGGAAATTTCAGTGAGCTAAATTATAACCTCTGCAACAAAACGATACTTTGTACCATATACCATTCCCAATTCTATGGGTTGATCTATCTGCGTACAGTAGGAAAAAGACAATACAGAGGCATAGTCGCAATTTGAGGATTGTGAAAAAAAAAAGCTTTGAGAAGTACAATGGATTGAAACACATTGGATTTAAAAAGCTATACATTCAAGATAAATATATTTAGAAATGATTATGTACCTAGATGAATTGTTCCATTTTTAATGCTTGAAAATACAATAGTTTTATCATCACAGCCCTTCATTAAGAATACTGAAGACAGAAATGTTATAGTTGTAAAACTATTCATATGTATTATTTTAATAATTAGGAGGAGAGTCAACCTGCACAACAAATAGCAATATTATTTTAGGCCTTAACAATAATATGTTTATGTCTCGTTACTATGTAGATGTAGATTCGAAAGCCATGGTGGAAATACCAATAGAAATATTAGCACGTGGACCAAAAGCACAGAAAGCTTTTAATGAAGCTCTATCTGAGGGTGAAACAGAGGTTAATCATGGAACAACAATTTTCCTCGGCCTTGAGAGAGTTGGCAAGACATCTACTATAGGGTCATTTTTAAAGCATCCGTAAGTTCGATATTTTTATAAACGATTTCACAGTTTGAAATAATATCTTTAATAGCATTTACATTTTTAATACAGTAGAACCCATATTAGGGGGACACCTTCAGGACCAAAAATAGTGTCCCCTTAATGAGGGTGTTCCCTGAATAGGGGTACCCTATTCAGGGGACAATAACCAAAAATGTGAAATTCTTCCATTAATAGGGTTTTTTTGGCATGTTTTCATATAACGATGACATATACATTAATTCTTTATAATTTTATTTTTATTGACATAATTAGTCACAGTAGAATTAGAACTAATTAATAGCAATAATTTGCAATGCTAATGCAATTCCTTTATAATATGAAATCAGCAGAAATGTAACTAAAACAATAGTATATGTTCCCAATGTTGTTTCATGATGCAATGTTAGTGAATGAATTAGAATCCTATGAAAGTGCAGGAAAAACGAAGAAAAAGAAATCACCATGGTTAAGGGTCGAAATTGACAAGATTGGTTTATACGAACTAACACATGCAGTAGGTAAATATTACTCCAATATTCACTCCAAAGATTTGGGGCAGGAGAAAATTCTGGTTTAATGCTCAAATTCCAAAATTCAATTTTCACTTTCAATTAAGTTCAGTTTCAATTTATTCAAAAACTTCCAGAACAGAGAAGTAAAGTAGTAGGCCTAGAAGAACTTTAAAACTATAGAACAGTTTCATTAAAACGGACAATACAGTATATTCATACATATACCAGAACAATTAAAATAAAAGCCACAACAAAATTGGATAAATTCTCGAAATTGGATAAATTCTCGAAATTGGATAAATTCTCGAAATTGGATTGGATAAATTCTCGAAATTGGATAAATTCTCGAAATTGACAAGATTGGTTTATACGAACTAACATATGCAGTAGGTAAATATTACTCCAATATTGGGGCAGGAGAAAATTCTAGTTTAATGCTCAAATTCCAAAATTCAATTTTCACTAGTACATAGGCTTACCAATTCAAGACCTCTCCAATTTCGAGACCCCTCTAATTCGAGACCACTTTTCCAAAGACCCAAATAGCAATCTTCAACATTTTATTAATACAAAGCTAGCCCTCTCAGGGGCGATCCAGAGGATTTCTGATTGTGGTGGTGGGGGGGCACAACATGAAGTTTACGCCGCCACGCCCACCTCAGCCCCACCATGGCTGATGTAAATAAGTGGTAAATAATCAGGCTCTCCTTCACCTACTGCTGGATCACCACTGAAATCATGGGTGCACTCCTTTTTTCCTCTTTCCTCTCTCTAACTAAAATTTTTCTCCCTCTTTTTTATTTTTCGGCTTGACTGACGGGGGAAACGTGCCCTCATGCCCCCTCCCCGCTGGATCTGCCACTGCCTCAAATTGGAGACCAACCCCGAGACCACCCCAAATTTTCACGTCCAAAAAGGTAGTCTCGAATTGAAGGGCGAACTGTATTTACAAATTTTGAATAAGCAATCAAACTTGTACAAATTTTCAAAATCAATTTTTTAATGTACGGAAGCAGAAAATATTGAGAATTTTTGTGGATGGAGCTCCCTTCTAATACTAGTTTTATTTAATTTTGAAAGCAATGATTTATAGTTTTTTACTTTTATTCTGATTTAGTTTCAATGCAAATGAGGATATCACTGACGCAATAGCAAACACACGAACCGTGATCCCCCAGGAGTCAAGCGATGAATTATATTGGAAGGAAACAGATCAGTGTAAGGAATTTAAATATACACAAAAAACGTGTCTATCTACATGTTTCAGTGGCAGACCTAGGAATTCACAATAGAGGACACAGGAAGTCAATTTTGCAATTGGCCTATAGAAAGAAGACCACTTTAATCCCACCATGATTGAGGCTGGGGCACAATATTTTTACGTCTAGGGCACTTTGAGATAGTCAAAAAAAATTGCAGTGTCAGACTAAAAATTTGATTGTAAATTTTTTTTCCTCCAATTTTGAAAAAAAAAGACTAGGGTGGGGATGCGTGCGCTGACTGGCCTCCTTTGAATCCACCTATATGTTTTAATTTGTTTAAAGTTGGCTAATATTTGTTTGAATTAATCAAGTGTTTCTTATTTACTAATTTAATGTCGACTTCAAAAATTAATCATTTAACAAGAAAACACTATACTACCTTAAATCAGGGGTTCTCCATTAGCTGACCGCGGAACATTAACAAGCCGAAAATAATATTTTTCTGTTAGGCTTGTGTCTAGATTTCTAAACTTGTCTCCCAAATTGTAGCGATCGCCAGCAACCAATTGTGTGATAAATAACATTTTGACATTTGCATTACCAAACACAAGGGTAACTTTCTTTGGTCAAGATGCTCTGTATGAGCATCTGGTAGCTTATTATTTTCAAAAAGTTTTTCAAACCCTCCCCTGACCAGCGGCTTTTGAATGGCGCTACGCACCATAGTACACCTCTTCCCTTCAAATGTATTCAATGAACAATTTTGATGTTTATTGCTATATAGTTGAGAACCTCTGCCTTAAATGCTTATATCATTACCGTATTCTATATTCTACACCAATAAACTTGGATAATTATAATATATTTTGTTCAAATAAATGATTTTTGTTCTCAACAGCCGGAGCTACTGGCATCTATGAGGAAAAAATGGTAGATGCAATTGTGAAAGAATTATCAGAGAAAGAAAGAGGAAATAAAGTGCCAGTAGCAGTTAGTAGTTACTAAAATTTGCTAAAATGCCAATTTTAACAGCCTTTTGCAAAGCTGTCTCTAAATTGTAGATAAGTCATCAATGTTTGTGAAGAACAATAAAAAAAGAGAGTAGCTCCTGAATGCCATACAAAAATAATGTTTTAATGCATATAATACCGCATATAAAAGTTAATTTTTTGAAACAACTTCAATACATTATACATTTTGTAGATTTGTGTCAGTCATCTAATTTTTCAGAAAAAAATTAATGTCATAATACTGATCAGATTGATCAAATAATTATACATGTCTCATTGCTCAAGGGCACTAAAATATAAATGCAAGCATAGGATTTGTCAGAGTAATGAAAGAAAATTAACCACAGTGCTCCAACAAAAAATGCCTATTTTTGGACAATTCTTAGAAAAAATACATTAATATTTTTTTTCTTTGTGAACATAATGGACAAATTTGTTATCAAAATATACACTTGATCTTTGTTATGGGATTGTCATAGTAATTGAAGAACAGCAACTGTAATGCACCGACAAATAATGCCTGTTTATAGACAATTTCTTAAAAAAGTATCCATACCTATTAATTTATGAGCATTTACAGAATGTTTTCAAAAGTTATGCTCGAATTTTGGAACTGTAATTTGGTCATTGATGTGTTGTAGATAATTGAGGCTTGATCCACAATTAAAACAGCTGTGCTAATGCCAAATAATTTGATATTAAAATTAATGTTTGTTTCTGCTGCTGATGCTGTAGTTTTTGTTAAAATATTATTTGACCTTTGTAGATTGCAAATAATACCAAGATATCACCAGATATCGTAGATAAAGCAGAGATGTCAACAGACAATATTGAAGGTAAGGCCCTCTCTTTGCTGCTATAGGCCTATGTCCTGTAGAATTTTAACTCATGAGAACTTTTATTTTAAGTGATGCAACTTTTAGTTTTTATTAATTCTAAGGACAATCATCATCGGGAGGCTCCAGAAGTGTGGGAACAGAGCCAGAGAGAAAAAAAAGACGTAAAAATACACAGACACAACCGATTGATACAGTTCCTGAAAAAATCGCCAGTAAAGTTCAGGAGAGGATGAATCAAATAAAGTTCAAAGGAGAAGCAACAACTGAATGGCAAAAATCTGGCAAAGATTTTATTATGAACATCTGGGATTTTGGAGGCCAGCCAATATACCATGTGATACAACGAGTAAAGTTTTCGAAAACAAATTCAGATTCAGATTTATTTTGTCCTTGCGGAAACGCATTTTAGGCAATAATCGCATAAAGTAAAATACAAAAGTAAAAAGTCATAAAAAAATATAAAAGCATAAATATACTATACACTAAGTCAAAAATAGAAATATATGCAACTATAAGAATTTAGCAATTGTTGTTATGTAATCGGATGGAGAAAGGAATGAACGAATTCAAATTCTGTTCTGTATTGAGTGCTGCATAGATACTTGACAGACTAATTATACTCTTAATATAATGGGTATATTAAATAAAACTTGTTTTCAAGTCTTTTATAGAGTATTTAACCGTTATAAGGTAAATATTTTTTTGTAGATATTTCTGGTGTCATTTGCCATTGTTTGTGTGGTATTCAATCTGGAAGATGACCTTGATGCTCCTGCTAAAGTTAGAGATCCAACAACTGTAATTTATTTAATTATATTTGGTATTTAATTTGTCACATTACACTAAAATGTATTCTGAATTTAATTATGTTTTCGTTATTGTGTGTGGCCCTCTGGAAATCAGAAGAAACACCAATAAATGTCATTGTTAGCATAGAGAGGCGCTATCACACGTATACCCAGTTGAAAATTACTTGTTTTCCTTTATTAATCATGTGCTATGTATTTTCAGGGTAAAATGTACGAACATAGAATGACAAACCTCGAGTTCATTCTGTACTGGATTCGTTCAGTATATACAAACAGTAGACCAGATTCAAAATTGGATGATAGCCAACTTTCACCGTCAGTATTAGTGATAGGTACACACCTAGGCAGCCTCAAAGGAAACGAACAAGAACAGAAAAATAAGGTAATTACAGTGCTGATTATAATCTACAGTATGTAAATGTAGATCAGATTTGTTTTGGCAAACATTGTAGTAATCTGTATGGACATAATTGGTTCTAGTAGGACAACAACCTACCAAGTAATGGAGTAACGGACTAAACTCATAGTTTAGTACGGGTGTACACCCTGTCCCACTGGAATCTCCGCCACTGTCGAAAAAGAGTTGTTGGTCATGAGGACACATCCAATTATTTCATTAAATGTAAGCTGCAGCTTTGTTCTCCCATCTCCCAGCCAACTGCATACATAATTAATTTACACAAATTGCATGATCAATCATGTTATATTTCAGGCCGAAGAAATATTCTGTAAAATTCGACAAGCATTGGCAGGCAAACCTTATGAAGCAATGGTATTCTCAACTTTCTTTGCTATTGAGAATAGCTTACCATTCTCCAAGAGTAATGCTTCTAGCATCATGAGCCAAATCTTCAAATTTGCTAAGAAGATGGTCAGAATTTTGCCCTTGAAATGGTTGCATGTCCAGCATGAAATCCAGAAGAAAAAACAGAAAAATATCTATTTACCAACCAACAAGGTTAGACATATGTTCAATTTCCTTAATTTCCAAGACGAATTCAAAGAAAACCATCATATATGCCTCATTTACTTCTAAGCAGGGCCCAGTTTCGATACTCGGCTCTGCATCGAGTATTGACTTTTATAATTTAAAAAAATTCATTATTATTAATATTAATATTATTATTTTCCATGTTGCTATTGTTTTGCTATTATACAATCAGTATATATAAGTGCTTCATTCTGGACATCCAGAAATCACAGAGAATGCTAACGCTTTCTAAAATGCTAAGATGTAGGCTATACTTCAATTTAATATTACAGTCGTATGATCAAATACTACTAGGCGAACTAATTAGGAACACTATAATACAAAGAAATTGGTGCCATAAAAGTTGGCAAGTTAAGGCAAAAAAGAATAATTCTGATCAATATTGTAATATCATATTGCATTATCTCTATTGACTTAAGAAATTAAATCATCCATTCGCTTTCTGAGGTCAACTGTGTTAAGTTAAGAACATGAGGACATTTACCGGGATCATAATATTATTAACCTGTACATATGACCTTAAAATATTTTGCGCCAAAAAAATTATCTTTAAAATTGAACTTTTGAATATCATGACCAAAAAAAGTGTCAATGCTACAGATGGAATGTTCATGCTCATACTAAAAACAGCATGATAACTTAGTCTTTCGAATATGGTATCTATCTGACTGGTCGGCAGTAAGTGGGTGGGACGTTTATGTGGCCGAATCCGCAAAATGTAGGAAACATTGTTCTAAATTGTATAATGGTATTATTGATATCATTACATTTTATATTTAGCCCCTGTCTATGTTTTTCTTTAATCAGGTGATTGATTTAATTAGCCAATGTGGGGTCAAAGTTGAAGCTCAAAGGGTACTGCTCCTTGAGTATTTACATGACGTTGGTGAGATCCTTTACTTTCCTGATGATGAAGACCTGAAGCGCAACATTGTTTTAGATTTAATGAAAATAGTTGATATGTTTAAAACTGTAATCACTGTTATAGACCCTGACTTACAGGTGAGCTAAACAATTTACCTGTTTATTATGTTATAAAGTTTTATATATATTGAATCACTTCTACAGCAAATTTAAGTCCGCTGAAAAAAGCATGTATGTATGAAGTGTCTGAAGTTTAAATTTCGATGTCACGATATTAACGTATTACATACTTAATTTAAAAGTATAGAAAAAAATCAAATGTTCTATTTCAACTTGTAAATTTTAATTAACCTGTAAAAACTCGCATATAACCATAACCAGCATTTTACATGCCTAGTTCGGTTTGTTATTTCATGAAATTTCATTTACGCACTCTATTCTTAGGCATAATCTGTATTTTAGGCTATGTTGTTAAGCCATAGATTTTTTAAAAATTAATAATTGGTATAGAATTGGCCCAACCAGAATTATAACTGTTAGAATGGTACTATGACCTATTAGCAAATCCAGGTAGGCCTTACCTAGCTAAATCTCAACACTAATTGCAATGCCGCAAGTATCATATACATAATTTAAATTACATCATTTACAATGTGGAAAATATTACTGTATTGCAAAGGACTCCGCCAGTGGGGAAAAGAAACAACCACAGTACAAAGACTACAATCGGACACACTAGCAGTAGTGTACAACAAAGCTTTATTACAGCCAACAAAACAACGGTCTGATCAATCCAAGATGGAGTATCGAGAGACCGCCCATAGAGGGCGCCTAATCAAATCACAGTGTGTCAACACTGGCGCTCTTCCAAATATTAAACCTTGTGAAAAATAAAACTTGTTAAACATTGTATTACCCACAAAATTTCATAATTTTACTTGTTGAATGACATTTATTAATTTTAGAATTATTATTTTCCCCGAACTAAAACTTCAACATTAATTGACAATATATTTTCCAATAAACTTACCGACACAACACATACTTACATACTACTTTCAGACATCTGATCACTATCCTGCCTTTTTGTTAAAGCATGGTACTAATACTTCTAATACTGCACAATTATATCTACTTACCAAAGATTGACGAAACTTCAATGTCCAACCTATGTTTACATCTTCAAAACACTGACTTGTCTGAAGTCTACAGTGTTTCTGATGACTCAGATCACGCATATACTCTATTTAACAATAAAATTACCTCCATTATAACCTGCATATTAAAACCTCAGGCATTAAGCGAAACTTAAGTAAAAAACGAAAGCCATCGATATCAGAGGTCATTATCAAATCAATTGATACTCGAAATGCCCTTTATGTAAAATACACAAAATCTTGTAAAAACGATAAAAACAAATGTATCCGCTATAGAAATAAACTAAATTGATTCGCATTGTACATAAACAATATTCTGCAGACAAATTTAATGTATATCGTTATCTTAACTTATCTAAAACTTAGCCAACTATCAATACTATTCTAGGAAAAAATACTAAATCTAATCCACCTTCCCATTTTATTTCTCATGATATTAAAATTACTAATCCGACGATCATTGCTGATAAATTTAACGATTATTTTACTAATATTGGTCAAAATCCTGCTCAATCTATTGTACAACCCTCGGAAAACCAGACGTTTTTAAGTTTCTTAAACACTCCTAATCAGTCATCTATTTTTTACAACCAATTAACGAGAATGAGATTATTTCCTAATTAGGCAATAATTATTTCCTTAATTAGGAAATAATAACAAAAAAGTCCTGCTTTTGAGGGATTTTCGAATGGAGTTGTTAAGTACATCATGTATTCTGTAAGTAAACCTTTTACCCACATTTCTAACATCTTCAAACTGGTACCTTTCCTAATTTTCTTAAAATTGCTGAAGTCATTCCAATTTACAAAAAACATGATCCTCATTATTTTAATAATTACAGACCTCTCTCATTATTACCTTCCTTATCTAAAATTCTCCAACGTTAAATTTACAATGATAATCATCTTTTAACAAACACGACAGTTTTTTTACTAATCATTATGGATTTAGAAAAAAAATGTTGACGTTAACCTTCCAATAATTGATCGTTGTGATTAGGTATCATCTGCACTAAATAATAATGAGTCCAGGGTTGCTGTGTTTCTTGACTTAAGTAAGGCCTTTGACACCATCGATCATAATACACTCTTAGCTAAATTGAATAACTATGGTGTCAGAGGTCTTCCACTTCTAATTAAAATTTACCTCACCAACCGCAAACAATTTACTTCCTTTTTTCTCACAATTCAGCACATTCTTCAGTTATTTACAGTATCCCACAAGGCTCCTTATTGGGCCCTCTTTTATTTCTTGTTTATGTAAACGACTTGCCAAATTGCTCACAACTCAATTGTTTCTCTTTAGAGACGACACAAACATCGTTTGTTCCCGTATAAACATAAATCTGTTATTTTCTAAAATAAATTCTGAACTTAAAACGGTCTCCAATTGGTTTAAAATCAACAAACATTCCCTTAATACCTCTAAAACTAATTGTATTATTTTTACAAACACTCCCAAGCATTAATTTGTAATCACAAAATCTATATTGATAACAAAGAAATCTAGTAAGTTAGTGAAACTAAATTTTTGGGGTTATCATTTCTTGGATTGGATTGGATTTATTTGGTGTAAACACCAAGGATAGCCCACGAAAGTCTAGAAGACTTATTTCCAGTGGGGTCCTTCTGGTGGTGATTGGGCAGCACACCAGGAGCCAATCTTTCCGAAGAGTGTATTGCACACACAGTGGCTACCACTAGATTAGCCGACTAAGCTAAGCTGCTCTCGCTGCTCTTGATAGTAACTTGTCCTGGAAATCACATATAAATAATGTGAGTAGCATAATCTCTAGAAACATTGGCATCATCGCTGTCAGTTAAAGATGTGTTCTAAAGAATTTAAAGTCGTGAGTTCGAATCACGTATTTAACAAATTTGAATCGCGTATTTATTTTTTGTTCATTTTTCCAAACAGTTCTTATCTATGTTCATTAAATAAGAAAATTAACGAGGCGCGATTCGCAATAGCGACCTTCGGTTAAGGATGTGTTGTAAAGAACTTAATGTCGTGAGTTTGAAGCACGTCTTGGTATTCAATTTTTTTCCCCAATTTTAAGACATTTTATTTATTTATTTTTTTCAATTTTAATTATTTTAACTTTGTACAAATAATGTTTTTATTTTCTTGTACAAATAAACATTCTAATTATATAAAAATTACTGTACATTATTGCCATTACCACTAATAGGCCACGTCACATGAATATTGCAGTCGGTTAAGGATGTGTTCTAAAGAACTTAATGTCATGAGCTTGAAAGACGTCTTTGTATTCATTTTTTTCAAATTTATTTATTTTCATTTTGTTGAAATCATCATTCTAAATAATGTTTTTTTTTTAGTACAAATAAAAAAACCAATATAATAATTTGCGTCTGTACTGTATTTAAGCATGGAGGAACGCGTGGACCTGGTGAGCGGTCGCTCTTGTTTACTAAACCATCCGATATTTATACTTAACACGCTTTTCTATCACTGAATTAAAACGAAAATGCGCTCGTCTAAATTCATATCACGTTCTATTCTATATGTTAAACACAAGTTATGGAAAAACATATCGTTGGACTTAAAACAAAAAAGATTATTGCTAGTTTCAAATGTCAATACAAACAATCTCTGCTTCAGGTATATGGTACATAAACGTTTTTCCTTTTTTTTTTCATTATATAGAAAAGAAAATTTGTAAAATAATAAGCTTTTTCTTCCTTTAGAATTTTTTTATTTTAACTAGAATTTTAAATTAGTTTTTGTAATTTTTAATTTGATTGTTTCTTGTATATAAATATATATATATATATATATTTATTCCATGATAAAATAAATGAAACGAAACAGAACAAAGCAAAATGAATATGAAAGAAGATTAAGTGACCTATCTACTGATAGGTTTGTAATTAACGGGTATTTTCTTTTTCAAATACAATTCATAATTTGTCAGATTACAGAGTTTCAAAAGTAATATATTTTTTCTTTTTGTAATTTAAAATGTAGAGCAAGATTTTTTTTTTTTTTTTTTTTAAATAAAATTTAATTTTAGGGACCAGTATTGAGAGACGCCTGGAGGAGATTGGACTCCGGTATACTAGAGGAACGTCTGTTGAGACATCTATGGAAGAAGTTCAATTTCTCAAAAGAAACTTTTAACTTCTTCATATCTCTCATGCAGAAGTTTGGACTGGTGTGTGAGAAAAAGCTTACAACGGTAATTTGTTCATATTTGTAGTCATTTATATTTTATCTATATTGATCTGTTCAAATGTATATGAAAATTGCTGATAATTTGTTTGAAACTATTTTTAAATTTTTATCACATTGTTGCTATGTGTATAGGTGTTGTCTTTTTTTTTTTTTTAGGGTGATGAACGTGTTTTCTATGTCCTTTCACGTTTAAAGCCTAAACGTGTAGATTCATCACCAACAGGATATGGAAGATGTGCAGTTTCAATTTTTCATGACTTCAGCAACTATTTACCTGACGATGTCTTCCAACGTGGAGCAACTAAATTCATCGATAAATTTCAAGTAGAAGATAATGAAGCTAAACTCTCTTATGAGCATGTGGAGTTGAGCATCGATGAACTCCACCATGTGGTACTAAATGTAGCCACTATCAAGCATCGTCGTATGCTCCAGGTATAATGCAGTAGTTATAATACACAGTAGTTCGTCGTTTTAAATCCTTTTACAAATTTGTATGACAAGATTTTCTGTGTAGATTTAGATTTTTATTATTTTTTAATTATTGTATATTGTATTACTGTATCATCTTTGTCAAAACATAGTATATAAATTAAATAAATATTTGCTATTTGAAATATAAAGGACATAAATAGAGAAAAATTATAAGAATCACAAACTACAGCACTTATGTTTCTACATTATATTTAACATTAAATGACAGAGACTTATTCATGTTTTGCAGACAACAATCATCAGATTAAAGATCATCAAACCTGATCAGCTTCCTGAGGAAGATGAGCCCTCACCGACAGTATGTAAGAAGGTACTGCCTTCATTGACTTCAGAGAAATATACTCTAAAAAATAATTAAATGATATTGTTTATGATGAATTGCAGATACTTAATCTCTGTTATTCTACTCTAGGTGCTAAGTTTTCTAGAAGAGAATTTAAAGGTATTTTGTCAGAGTGGTGCACGCGGAGTCGAATTAACAAAGTACATTCAATGTGAATGTAGTCCAAATATGAAGGACGCCCACATGCATATAGTGCACAAGTTTAATAAGAATGTGCTGCCATGTGGAAGCGATAGAATGGAAGTGATGCGCTACCGTCGATTATTTGAAGGATATGAGCCGCAATTGCAAGGTATGCACCTTTTTGTTATTGAGGTGTGGGTTGGTGAATATATTACACAATCGAGTGTTATTCAAACAACTAGGCCTAAGCCTATTATTTTCACTAATATATAACATTAAATCAGCTAATTAAAAAATATAATCATTTACCAGAAAAAGAGAGTATTTGACCAATTCGCTCATCACAAATACCCTGGGCAAAATTGGTCCCTGTAAATGGAAAATATTAAACAGAAAACTGTAAATGCTAATTGTGAAAAGATATTTTTTACCTTGAAACTTTTATTTATTTCTTAGAATGTCCAGTGTCCCACCAAGCAGTAACTAAACCCAAAGGTAGGTTTACAACTTTTTAAATGTAAATAGAGTAGTTAGAGACAATTATAACACATACTTGGTGTGGAGAAACACTTCCATTAGTAATACAGACTTTTTAAGTGCTATGGATTTCCTTTAGTTTCTAGAAGTTTTGCCTAATTAAGGATGTATGAAAGTAGACAAAAAACCTACGAAAATTTACCATACTATCAATTATTGTGAAAACTAAGAAAAAGTTAAATAGTTCTGTAGCACCAATTTATTGGTGCTACAGAAATTTTGTATTTACTACAGATAGGCCTATTCGAAGACTGGGTTTTACTGAACTATATTTAACCACCTTGAGAAGTCTGGATATATATAAGTCGGTACAGAAATAATGTTTAATGTTGAAAATTTACTAAATATCTTATTCTGTGACTTTGAGAATTTTTATATATTTCTTTTTTTCTTGAATGGAATGGATTGTCATGGAATGGATTGTTATGGAACTACATTTCATATGACATTCCAATTTTCTCATCTTAGGTTTTGTGGATGACAGCATTATACAGACTGTGGCTGAGGAATTAAACATTAAAGGAAAAATATTTGGTGTCAGGTTGGAACTTGCGTGGTCAAAAGTTAACATGCTCTGTGGTGATAAAACACAGATTGTGAAGGGTGTCACAGACATTTTGGAATATTGGAGGAAACAGATCAGTAGTGAAACTGATCAATGTAAAGTGTTGGGCACTGCTCTAATACAGCATGGTTTCAGGACTCTGGCTGAAAAGTTGTTTGATACTGTGGATGAACCTCTTGACACTACACAAGCAGGTAAGTTATCATGACAAGAGGCCTAATAACTGGTATCTTTATGTATAAATTGTTTCCTATATAGAAATGAAGAATATAGGCCTGTGCAGGTTTTTTTTTTCAAAACTTGTCTTTGATCCTCGTATACCACCAATAGGTGAATGCTTCAGTGATCAAGACCTGCTATTCATCTGTGACAATTTGGAACCTGAATCATGGAGGAGACTAGGACTGCGACTTGGACAGACGTGGACAGATATAAATAGGATAGCAAACAACAACAGGTTAGTCGAAGACCGCATAATGGAATTGCTAGTTACTTGGAGAAATGGTCAGTCAATAAACCAAATACCAATCATGATCCACACTTTGAGACTACAGAAGCTTGCTGGACTTGCGCAACGTATATCTGCAAGGTATGGCTACAGTAACGAGTCAGGAGTTGCACCAACTCAGATAAATCAGCCTCAAGTGCAAACACCAGTCGAAGGTTAGTGAATAAAATAATTTGCCTATCCTAGTCTGTTGTCTTTTGCATATGCATATATGTATTATATGTATACACAATATATATAAAAGGAGATAAATTCATGTACTGTATATACAGATTATATAAAGGATATAATTGGAGATAAGCTGTCATTTATTATTGATGACTACCATACTCAAATGCTCAAAAAACCTAAAAGGCTATAACTTTCAATCCAATTCAGTCGGTGATACAAATTCGGAAATGTTGCCCCCCCCCCCACCCAAAAAAGTGAATTATGTACCAGCTGACTAAATTTACATTGTATAAATGGAGCAGATAGCTACATGCGAAAGGTGATAACGCTGTTTCAGTTTCTAAAGATAAATTGTACATCTACCTGGCATCACTGGAGCATCTTTGTATTTACTTTTTTCCCACCAAATGGAGAGTTTACGGGAAACAGCAGCATCGTTCATGTGAATTGCTGTGATCTTCCTTGGCAGCTGATGCTCTTAATCTTCAAACCAGGGACCTCCTCTCATTTGTGTTGTTTGCTGATTTGCTCCATGGCTCTTCATGCTCTCAATTTGGTGGGGATTCTGCACCAAGTCTTTTAAGATTAACCCAAGTCTTTTTTCCAAGTTTACAACCTCTTGGTTACTTAAAAGGCAGTCAACAAACTGCTTAATGTACAAAGTTAATTGCTTGGACCATCAGTCTACGATCCAAGTTAGTTGGTTCGGGGTGCTGTAACAGAGCTTTTGTAGCATAAAGGTTAACTGGAATTATCTGTTTCTTGAAAGATATAGGTGGAAGATTTAAACTACCATGATTCACTGTTTTTGTTTGCGAGCTTAATTGTACGGACATTTTATCTCAGGTTTGCAGGAACAGTACCAGTGTGTCGAATGTTTTTTAACTGGTTTTGTCATCAGCACCTAACAACTCTTATTTCATTTTTCAGAACAAGGTAAACTTTTTTGAGAATTAAAACTGTGACTCCATAGAGCAGTGCATAACATGCACCAGAGCACTGCATGCTACAAGCACTGCTGGTGATGTTCAGACTGTTGTAGTATTCATCCCATTCAGTCCCTGCTAACCTTAATAGGGTTTACATGAAATGGTCTCTTAATAACCATTGCATTGTTTTGTTAAAGAAGTGTTAGGATATGATCCAGTATGATGCCAAAAATATCGTACAGTAGTACCTAATCTTGAGTCCCCCTGTTGACGAATCAATTCTTAACTGGAAGATCAGATCAGATCTGAGAGTTTTTGGTTTGCTGAGGACAAGGTGACATTATGGAAAGTATGTGCAACATCAACTTAAGCAGATATGTTTACACCATTCAGTTCGTGGTTTCTACTATAAATATACTTATTTTCTAAATTGAACGCAAGGTCTGAGTTTTTGAATTAGAATGCTGCATCATCACTATCGTCAGACTGCTAGTGTTTATCTGCAGAGAGTGTAAATCTTGTAGAAGTGATTTGAGTGAATGGATTTGTGTATCAAAGTTTTCATGGCACCATCCCACAGAGGGAGGATCAGACTTTTTTAAACGAGGGGGAAACAATTTCATATAGGCATAAATTATTATTATTATTATTTTTATTATACAGATATATGTCTAGTAATGGCATGATTGATGTACAGTACTATCAGTGTATTTTCACTGTTAACACACAAAAAAAAGATGACAGTGGCAAAACAGGGGGAACGTTTCCCCTCCCTAAATTTTCCCCTGTATAACATTGTGGAAACCGAAGAACAAAATGTTGTGGCTATGGCAACTAGATGGCCGGAAATGGCACTTACAGTCTTAGGCCTAAATTTGATTACACTGTACCTTTCCTCTTTTATCTCTATTTTTTAATTTTCAAAGAAGTTTGGGGAGGGGCTTGGCCCAGGACGGGGTGGTGGGGAAGAGTGGAATTAAGGGGCGAAGGTTAAGTGTCAGTGCTCAGTGATTAAGTTAGGGAGATTCAGATGGCAAAATATGGCGATATGTAGCAATTTTGTGAGTACTTGAGAAAAAACTTTTTTTTTGCAAAAGAGTATCCAGTGGAGATGTGTGGGGGAGCAAGATTTCTGGGAGGGGGTTATTTTTGGAGTTCTTATTTTCTTCCCTATGCATCACTGATCCCATTGATCCCAAATGACTATTGTATGATATATAAACGATGATCGAATTGCAATTTTTTTGTTAAAACCTAATTTTCGGCAGCGGTCATTTTGAAATTCAAAATGGAGGCCCTAGAAGTGAATAAAAAAACTGGCACCCATTTTTTTTCTTAATCAGTGAATTTTTTAGATATATTTAGCCATGTTTGCCAAGAATCTACCCAAAAAATTGACAAAGTTAAAAAATATGTCATAAGACAACAGACTATCCATAACATTATTTTGATTTATTTATATTGTTGGGGGGAAGGGGGTTTCGACCACAATGGTGTCTGTTACCTCCCCCCACGGGGTTTCGTACCCCAAGCAGTGGTGTTGCCACTGCACCAACGGAGACCCCCACCCCGTTGGACACCCTTTCAGCAAATTTCTGGAGCCACTGTTTCCCTCAAGGGTCAAGTAATATAATAATTCTTCTCCTAGGCCAAAGGTAAAATGTATGTAGGTGTAACCAGCTCTTATTACAACCAAGGTTAAGTTTAGTAATTACCGAATAAAACTGAACATACATTCACCAGGCTATTAGAATGGTTCCTCTGCTTTCAAGCATAGGTACCAAAAATCTTGTAATTACAGTTGGAATCGATCCTACTACCCCCATGTAAATGTTCAATATCAAAATCATTAGACCGCCAACTTGTGCTTAGTATCTGTATGATTTTTAATTAGGAAAAGGTTTTGATGATCTAGATTTGCTGTTTGTGACAATCCAGTCCAGGTCATAAAGAAGGCACTTCACTTTTGTCCTTGAGAAAAAATTATTAGTGATTAGAATGATACAAATCTTCAAAATATTCTGTTTCTCCAGAGGGCGACAGAGTTGATGTTGTTGCAGCAGCAGTAGTAGTAATACAGTTCTACTGCAGTAAAAATAAGTTTACCGCTGCAAAAATATCGTCAGCGATATTGCAGATAGATATTTCTTAACCCTATTCAGTTGTTCAGGTGACAAAGTGTCTTTGGTACACCTTTTTTTAATAACATTGAAAATATTAATATTGTGATTTTTTTATTTTATTACATAATAACTAGTTATTCAAGCTTTAAATAAATATAACAAATCTAATTTCCATGTTGTAATGAAGTACAAGGTTGTTGTATAAAATGTTAAATATAATGTAGAAACATAAATGCTGTAGTTCGTGATTATGATTATTTTTCTGTTTTATGTCCTTTATATTTGAAATAGCAAATATATATTTAATTTATACACTATGTTTTGACAATGCCTGGTTTTTTTTTCAAAAAATTGTCATTGATCCTTGTATACCACCAATAGCCAAATGCTTCAGTGATCAAGACCTGCTATTCATCTGTGACAATTTGGAACCTGAATCATGGAGGAGACTAGGACTGCGACTTGGACAGATGTGGACAGATATAAATAGGATAGCAAACAACAACAGGTTAGTCGAAGACCGCATAATAGAATTGCTAGTTACTTGGAGAGATGGTCAGTCAATAAACCAAATACCAATCATGATCCACACTTTGAGACTACAGAAGCTTGCTGGACTTGCACAACGTGTATCTGCAAGGCATGGCTACAGTGATGAGTCAGAAGTTGCACCAACTCAGATAAATCAGCCTCAAGTACCAACACCAGTCGAAGGTTAGTGAAAATTTATTGAAAATACTGCTGTTCTCCAAATGCTAATTTCCTGATTGCTGACAAACATTGTTAGGCGATCTGTTGCATCGCATTTTACAGTCGTATGCAAGCAGATGAATTTCAATAACATTTTTCTCTAAACGTCGTCGGCTAAAAAACAGTAATTTGGTCACAAAGATGTTATCACCCACCACGGCAGTGTCCCGCACCACATCAGTGGTGGCAGCACAATCCCCACCATCATATCTGACGCCACAATGATGTCGTCAGGTCAAAATGAATAAAATAATTTGCCTATCCATAACATTATTTTGATTTATTTATATTGTTGGGGGAAGGGGATTCGACCACAATGGTGTCTGTTACCTCCCCCCACGGGGTTTCGTACCCCAAGCAGTGGTGGTGCCACTGTGCCAACAGGGACCCCACCCCGTCGGATACCCTTTTAGCAAATTTCTGGAGTCACCACTTCCCTCAAGGGTCAAGTAATCATAATAATTCTCCTCCTAGGCCAAAAGTAAAATGTATGTAGGTCTAACCAGCTCTTATTACAACCAAGGTTAAGTTTAGTAATTTCTAATTACTGAATAAAAATGAACATACATTCACCAGGCTATTAGAATGGTTCCTCTGCTTTCAAGCATAGGTACTAAAAATCTTGTAATTACGGTTGGAATCGAACCTACGACCCCCATGTAAATGTTCAATATCAAAATCATTAGACTGCCAACTTGTGCTTAGAATCTGTATGGTTTTTTAAAATTAGGAAAAGTTTTGATGATCAAGATTTGCTCTTTGTGACAATCCAGTCCAGGTCATAAAGAATAAAATATCAATCTTCATATTATCTTTATTCATCCCAGATGGGGCACTTCTTAAAAACTGGACTGAAAAAATCATAAACAATTTAACAATTTTAATGAGACTTTATCCAGAGGTGACAGAACTAGGGGGTGCTGTGTTAGGGAGAGTAATGTGTGACCGGAATGGTCTGCAGTCAGTTGGTTGTTACCATGCGCCAGTGATGTTGGAGTATATAGTACAGCAAGATGAAACTATTATGTAGGCCAAATGACTCATAAAGTTCAGAGTTTGTCGGGTAGTGAAATGATTATTGTACATTTTAAGCGCTAGCTAAATTCATAAGTGTAAGCTAAATTACGGTGATTAATTTAATTAGTGAAGATATGGAGACAATTATTTTGAAGTTCCCTCTTTCCAAGAGGGGATGCAAATGCTTTGTGAAAGTGAGTATGCTGCGGTACTCATTTTCACAAAGAAATACAGACAACTGGTTAGCTAACAATATGCCAATACATGAACACCTGGGAAGGAAGGTTCAATCACGTTATTGCCCAGCAGACGTATGTGCTGTATGGGGGAGGGGGCGTTACTGATGTACTGTGTAGCGGATGACGATGAGGCATACGTAATAAGACTAGGGCTAGGCCTAACTAGACAATGCAATAATATGTGACAGAAAATACACTTTCGAAAGAAATAAATTAAAATAAAATTTATTTTAAAAAACAATAACAAATAACTAAGAATATTTCAGTTGCAGAGGTACCTTGTACATATTATACAATGCTAACAATGTGGCTCTTGTATCCCTAGCTAGGACAAGGCATCCATGTGCAAAGCAGTGGTGTTTGTTTATCCATGAAAAAGCATGCCAGGATAGTTTGCCTTACCAGGAAAAGTTGACGTAATCTAGCTTATGGCGTATGCATGCTAAATGTATTGTGAGTGTGACGTCACCAAAAAATGAATATTTTCTATTATAACCAAAATATTAATAACTACACGGTTTCTGGGCGTAAATTCCCTTAATACGAATTAAGGGTTGCACAATCTCCTTGCCATACAAATTACAGCTCCCACAGACGCCTCAATCGAGAAATACGGGTAGCTGAAGTTTTTCTCGCAAATCTGACTATGAAACCATATCCAAATTTCACGTTCCACTTTTGAACCTGATTTGTGCTTCGCTATTGTAAATTTGTTAAGAAACATCTTGTAAGTTTTAATTGTAATTATCTTAATAATTACATTTTATTCTTGTTTTAATATTTTCCTTAATCATTTTTAACTTTTTTCCTTTGACCTTTTGCAATTTGAATGTTTTTCTCATCCTCTTTGTCCTTGTTCCTCCTTGAATTTTATGTCTGCACTGTTTGTTGATTATTGATCGAATAAATGAAGGAATGAATGAATGAAAGAAGGCACTTCACTTTTGTCCTTGAGAAAGAAATTAGTGATTAGAATGCTTGCTTTGAAATATTCTTTTTCTCCAGAGTTGATGTTGTAGCAGAAGCAGTAGTAGTAATACAGTACTACTGCAGTAAAAATAAGTTTACCGCTGGAAACATATCGTCAGCGATATTGCAGATAGATATTTCTTAACCCTATTCAGTTGTTCATGTGACAAAGTGTCTTCGGTACACCTTTTTTAATAACATTAAAAATATTAATATTGTGATTTTTTTTATTTTTATACATAATAACTAGTTATTCAAGCTTTAAATAAATATAACAAATTTAATTTCCATGTTGTAATGAGATAAAATTTCTAAAATATGTATTATTTTAATAATATGTTTTATTGTTATTTGTGGTGGTTGCTTCAATTTCCAATTTGGGTTGCTCATTGTTGATTCAGTTGTAACTAGAATTCTCCTTTTACGCTGCGCAGTAAAAACATAGCCGCCCCACGGTATGATTTTTCTCTGAAAACATACAAGTACAGTAGTTTGAAACCAATTTTTAGTTGTCGTGGTAACAAACTAATTACTACAACGTGAAAAAATATTACAATTTTATTATGTTAAAGATGGCTATATTATTTACTGTCTCAGGTTACTTAGCTGAACTTGACATGCTGTTTATCTCTGAACGACTTGGTCATGATTGGAAGGATTTGGGGATTTATCTAGGTATGAAGAGATCTGAAATAAATCTAATTCAAGTAGACTTTTCACCACCGGTTGTAGATGCCTGTATTGGAATGTTGATACGGTGGCGAGAAAGGCAGAGAGCTGATGTAAATCATCTCGAAACGATTAAGCATGCATTGGACCAACTTGAACGAATGGATATCATTAAAGAACTGAACATTTATTACCAGGAAAACTATCAAAAATAAACAAATGAAGGGACATTGGTACAATTTAAAAGACATTGGTACAATTGACCCGCGGCAGCCACAGTGCAGAACCACCCAGTTTAACTACAAGTTTTTACAGATACATACAGTACGGATACAAACAGCCTAACTCCAAATAAAACACTGCAAAATTGCAGTGCTTTGAAGGCTAGTTTTAATTAAGTCTGTGTAGTTTACAGTCATCAGTTTTTACTACTGTGTTATATTTGCGTATAAGACGAGGCTTAAAATAGCATAGATTTTTTAAATCATGTTCGTCTTTTATGATGCAGTTTTTGGACCACAAAAAGCAAAAAAAATTATACTCTTCCAAAAATCTTCTCAAACTTGGGATCGTCTTATGCGTGGGTCCTTTTATACGCAAGTATATTCAGTAACTCTCAATGTGATGAATATTCGAGGAACTAAGTGATCAGATTCCAATTAAAACCTGACACTGAATAGGTGTGAACCAAGGTCTTCGCACAAGAGGCGAAAATGATACCTCTCGACCATGTGGATGGATGAGCAGTATGGAACTCATCAAATAGGATAAACCATTTATCACTTTCAAGGAATTTTAATCTACAATTTAAGTGAGTGATGAAGAAGTTTAATTAAGTGACTTAAGTCTGTCTTCATTGTGATGGTCAAAGACTAATTAATGTAAAAATACAATTACATATAAAAATGTCTCTTGTTTAAATGTGATTGATGATACTTTTATTGATAGGCATTTTACTTTCAAAATTGGGTTTTTAGTGTGTGTGTGTGTCTCTCTCTCTCTTGTAGTTTTACTTAATAAGTATTTGTTTTGAGAAAGAAATAAATTCATTAGCTGCTCATTTGTCACTGCTAATAATTAAAACATAGAAGTAACCAAATATTGTGAATATGGCTATCTAATTTGCATTTGTACAATTATGTAAACATTAATAGAAGGTGTACACAAACTAGACATTATTTGATTAAAATATATTGTAATCATTAAAAACATGTCATTACTGAGATTGATAAAACATCAATAATCAGACATCACAACCACTATCATACACTATACGAATAACTATCAATAAATGTACCATTTCAACCATGTGTGAGCCTCCTCGATTCTCTGCACAACGTAGATTAGGTCCAAATTGCATCCTAGAGATGAAACTCCTTAATGATAACTATTGACTTCAAAAGTTTTGATCAGTTTACAAAATACAATTTTGAAACAAATAATTATTTTAATGTTATCATAGATAGAAAATTGTCTTATTATAGTTGTAAACTGCATGCAAAATAAACTGTACATTTATGTAGCATTACAACTGCTTTTGTTATTTCAGTTACTTTTGAGTTCTTTAAATTTAAGACTGATATTGTTTAATATTCCTTTTGAGTTCTTTAAATTTAAGACTGATATTGTTTATTCCTTTAAGATTCTTTAAATTTAAGACTGATATTGTTTATTCCTTTTGAGTTCTTTAAATTTAAGACTGATATTGTTTATTCCTTTTGAGTTCTTTAAATTTAAGACTGATATTGTTTATTCATTTAAGATTGTAGATGTTAGCGAAGTTGGGTTTCTTCATAGTTTCTGGAAAAAGGATATCTTGTGAATATATTCAACTTATTGTGCTCCCTGGCACCATCCTTAATTTCTTCAATTTAAGAGATTTTTGTGGTTCTCTTTGTTAAAATGTATAATAAAATAAAAATTTAACTTCAAATTTTGTCAATTGTAAATCCCAATGACATATTTGTTGCTTTTCAAATTCAAATAAGCACACAATTTGCATTTTGTAGTTTCAAAAACTGTTTTTAAAGCCATCTTAATTTAACTTGATTTTCTCTTACCTTGCATATCCATATTTTTTTATTTTTTATTTTTCTTAAGTTTCTTTAAATCTTTTTTAATTTGTAGTTAATTTATCCATCTTTTTTAGTTACCATTTGTATATATCTGCTTTTAAAATTTTGTAGTTAAGAACTGAACCACTTCCAAACCAGTACTATGTATTGAAAGTGTATATTCAGTATAAAAAAAAATAAATAAATAAATGAAAAATGGAAAAAAATAATTGCCTGGCCAAAATATGCTGTACAATAACGTGTTTAAGATTCATGTCATTATTGTCTCAAATGAATTGTATTGGGCCTATACACTGCGCATGTTATGATGATCAGAGTACTTTCTCACTCAATTTCCATCTTAAATAAGTGTTTGAATGTGTGTTGATTTGACCATTTGGCACACTGTTATAAGATAGTTATTTTCCCTTTTTTCCCAGAAAAGTGACCCCTAAACCAGGGTTTCTCTAATTGTATAAAAGTGCATGCTCATTTCTGCCAATAAACTGAAACTACTTTTATTCACCTTTGTCTGTCTGTCTGTATATTAGTATGATTACAAAAAAAAAAGAAATAGATCATCATAAAATTTAGTGTAATGGTATATAACATTGAGCAAATAGGATGCCACATAAATTTCATTTCTTTGAAATTACCCTTGAGCACAAAAGAAAATAATGGAATAGCTCATACACCTGTGTATTGATCCGTATCCAGCCACAGGACACAGTTAAGGACTCTGTGACTGCTCTAGTTTGATATTGTATTAAGCGGTCCAAATTTTCACCTAGACTGAGCCACATATTTACCTATGGTCTGTTTATAGTTAAACCATAAAACTCGAATAGAAGCCCTGGGTTTCTTTTTTCTTTTTTTTTTGCAAACCCTGGATGGGCCACTGTAACATCAGTCTGTCTCATAGAGTGCATTAACCGGCATCAAATCACCAAAACCACTGTATAAACCAAGCATGTTTTGAATTTATTTTGTTTCTTTGAAATTCATCTACAGTGTATTATCTCGAAAAAAAGCCCAAAGACCTGAGCCCAGGGGTGGCGCCAGCGGGAGGGGGGGGGTCAAGAGCTGGGCCCCCTTGGAGGAGAAAAAAAAATTATAAGTATTTTCTACATATTATTACTCTAAAATCGATTAATAAGCCTTTGAAACCCCTAAATTGTCAAAATTTTCGACCACTTTCCTAACCTTTTAATCGAAGCTCGACCACGCCCACTTTGGTTTCGTCGGGGGAATCTGACCTCGTCCCCCTGTCGGGCAAATCCTGGCGCCACCCCTGCCTGAGCCTCTTTTTCTAGGCTACTTTTGCAAACTAAAGATTCAAGATTAAGGCCATTGGGCTTCTATTCAAGATTTTACGGTATTACGATGAAGCTGGATAAAGAGATACTTAAAAGCTCACTGATTGTTTATATGAAATTTTATTAGCTACTTGAGTCATCGTGAGTTACAAGATGTTGAACTTTGAATGAAATAGAACTGTCTTCTAGGAAGAACGAAAGACAGAGTCTTTCGCCTGCACTAACTTGAAATTGTTCTGAGAGTATGTAAACTGACTGGCTAAAATGTGTCGCAGGATTGAGAGTACTAATCGATCGATAGGTGTCTAATTTAAGATCGAACCAGAACAACACTGCCATCAGGCAACCATCAGTTTCTATCTCAACTTGTTTCTTCTGCTCAATTTTGAATGTTGGTTTTACCGGCTGATTGGTTAAGACAATATCACGTAGGTCAATATGCATTAGTTCGATGGCTGTGGAGAGTTGAATACACTGAAGCTTGGAGAAAAAAATACCAGGATGTGTCGGAACCTAAGGTGAAGAATTATTTGTTTATGAAATTGTGATATGAATAATGGTAGGTTTAAATATCATTTTAATTTATATTGTCTGAATAGTGCCTTGTTCATATATTTCTAGGTCTTTGCTTAAAAGCAGAAGGCAGAATGGATACTCCTGAATATTAATGGAAAAAGCATTCCAGAGCTTATAAGCTGCAACATGAGCTGAACGTTTGGCTAAATGGTATGGTTCCTGCCTCTTGCACGCCAGGGCCCGAGTTTGATACCCGCCTCTGCGTCGAGTATTGAATTCGGGTCTCTTATAATAACAAAAACGCTCAGCTCCTCGAATAATCCTCTCAGGAGAGTTAGGCGAGTTAAGGACCATGTATGTATCAGTCTGTATCTGTTTGATGTTGTGAAGTAGTTGGCGGCGAAAATGGCAGCCCCGGGGACCCAGCCCGAATTTCCCAGTGAGTAGTAATACATATACAAGCAAAAATAAAGTATTATTATTATGAACATAATGACCTTTTCCAAAAATTTAAACGGCCCACTGAGGGAAAAATTTAAATGTGCCTGAAGCAATATATTTTGCAGCTTCCTTTTTTAGGTTTTATTTCAATACATTAATATATTTAATCAAAAGGTAATCAAATAAATAAGCAAATACTGTAATTTGGTTGTTACTGCTCTTGATAATCAGCTGCAGACCATGCAAGAACAGAGATAAGTGTATCAACCTAAACAGGTGTACAAGTCATGTATCTGCATTTCACAAAAAAAGTGGAGATTGCATTGTTACACACCACAATTCATCCCTAGCATAATCCCCAACCCAAGCTCATAGGCCTATATCACAAGAATTACAACCAGCCACAGAAAACTGATCAACTGACCATATATGGAAATACATTGAAGGGTCTTACTGTGAATGAATTCATAAATGGCTTGATATCGAAGTCCAACGTTCTTGAATTATCAACTACGTAACTGTTCTCCAGAATCCATTTGCTGTCGATACACATGCAATGAATTGTTATTCCCGAAGGAATGATTACTCCCTCTAGTTGAAGAATAGTATCTCTGAAAGAGGAAGGATACGATTATTTTTATTGGTGTAAAGACAGGCACTCACTCGGTTGTATCAAACTACGTTCCCTGTGACATTGCTGACTGTCATTGGCAGTCTGAACAGATCGTCATTAAAAAAACGCTGTTATGCAGGGGCGGTGGAAGCATTTATATGGTATGGTGGGAGAGTCTTTAATAACCTCAGCCCCACTATGGTTGGGGCTGAGGTTAGACAATTTTGTAAAATTTACATGACTAAATGCTTGGAAATAGCACTCAAGTTCTTAATTTCGTTAATTCATTTAAATATTAGTACGGCAGTCGCTGTACCGCTTCCGCCGCTGCCCCTGTTATAGATTTGCATTGTCTGACGACCATCAGCTGCAGAGAGTGCCAGGCTGAAATGATTTCTCTTGACAACAAAGCAGGAAATGTCAATTTATGAGTCAATGACACAAGATTTTGTTCTTATATTTTATTAACTATCCGGAAGCACAGAGTTCATCTGATGAAGTAGGCGGCATCGTTTGAAGTAAACTTACATACACAATCTGACAATATCTAACAAATATTCTAATAGCAAATGTTTTCACATTTGGTTATTTTTATTTCATCATCATCATTATTTCACTATCATTATCATAATAGGGAATAGTAATTATTAATAATACATTCATGTAAATTACCTTGTTAACTCACCTAACTAGTGCCACCTCCTGCCATATGTTATGTCGTAACAGGCCACTTGGCTCCACAATATCAACCACTAAAACATCCCACAATACATCAGAATGAAGCTCAGAAACTAATGTCTGGATATCTTCACTTCCAATATTGTAATGTTTTTGCTTACACAAGTCAAGTACAAGATCTAAATTTGTGTCATGTTGGTGGGAGACATGTATCCGAGTTGCACCAGCATCTGCTGCATACACTACGGCTAGAGAAACTCCCTCAGAGATATCAAGTACTTGCCAATTCTTTCCTAGATCAGAGGTAATGTGGTCATTTCCTCTGGTCTCTGAAGATCTTCTCTGTGTGAGAGAGCTATCTACAGCTTTCTGAATTGTTTCACAAATTTGAACCTGATACCAGAGATCATTAAGTGTAAAAATATCTTTTTCTTCCATAACAAAAACTTTATTAGATTTTGTGTTCCTCTCTAGCAAGCATTCTTTATGTCCTATCCCTCCACTACTACCGAGTGGAGGATTTTTCATAGAAGGAAGATGTTGCCAGGAAAGATCTGACATTTCTTGGAGGCTGTCTTCTGATTTTTTACTTGTAGATGACGTCTCTTCAAGACCACTTTCATGTTTTAACTGCCAGGATTGTTTAACACAAACTCCAGAAGAATCTCGTTCAAGTACCCTAGGACAATTCTTTTCTGATGGCAACAATTTACAAGAAGAGCCTTTACTGGTTTGACGGGATGAAGCATATCGGAAAGTACTAGTTGGATGATTTTGGATTTCAAGAGGCATAACTCTTGAAATATCTTGAGATAAATGTTGATTGTCAATGACTGTTTCAATTTGTGGGTTCTCTCTAAGATCTTGACTTTCTGTCCTTGTACTATTCACAGACTTAATTTTAATGCATTGAAATGCAAGATGGTTCTCTTTACAGACTACCTCTAAATTAACAGTCTCGCCTGATTTAACTTCTGTTACACCACCTAGAATTAGGAATAATAAATAAGACTTCAAAAAGAAGCACTTCAGCTGGAATGATCCATTAATATCATTACTGTATATTTAAATATTTATAAAAAATAATGATTCATACTGTACAAGGGGTTTCAACCCTCCCAATTCAATGGGGGGGGGGGTGTTCTCATAAATTTCCATACAATCTCCCAGTCTCACAAATTTTGTGAATTTTTTCTGGATTTTCAGGAAGGCTAAAATACCGAAAAATGAGTAATTAGTTACTTTTTAGTACCAATAATTAAGTATTTTTGTGTTAATTTTTCTTTTGTGGGCCGACTATATCAACTTCCCTACTCACACTTCCAAAGATCAAAATGTATCCATAAAAAACTTTGTTTTTCAACATTTTGGGGCAAATAATTATAACAACAAAATAAGTAATTTTACCTTTTATATTTCCTGCAGTAATTGGATAAACAGCTTTTTCCCAACAGCCCTCTGACCAAGGGGAGGTGCTTATACTTGTCTGCGAGTCAAGGTACAGGTCAAACCATACCACAATGGCATCGATATTTCCTTGTCGGGCAACTGGTACTGTCAGTGCCTTTGGGAGTGATTTGTGAGAACACAATTCTGCCACTTCCTAAAAGAGCAAAAATTACTCATTATTCTAAAGCAGCAGTCATACAGATTAGCATTGGGAAAATCTATATACACCATAGCCATTCAAGAATGGAGAATTCAGTATGATTACATTCATCCATTCACTTTATCCGCCATCCATAACTTCAACTGCATCTGTCCTCAAACTGGGACACATCAGTCACTCTCCAAATTATCAAATTTTACTTGACAAAATAGTGTTGTATGCACATATATAGTTATGATGTCTCCATATATAGTCATGATGTGATGTCACCATTACCATAATAAGGCATGTCACATTTTGTCAAATACAGTACAAGTCTGGTAAGGGCTTTACTCAGTGGGTGCTATGTTATGGTTACCTGTGGATTATTAAAATTGAAATCTTCAACTTTGATGACACTTGAGAGGGCGGTGTACCCACCAGGAAGAGAGCAGATTTCTTCTGATGTGTATGGTTCTGAGAAAACAGTTCGCACATCCGTTATACCACTATCGCTCATTAGGTTGACTGATGGACTGACAATAGTGAAGTCAAGAAGTATGCCACCAATGGACTTGGAAATTACGCTGTGTAAAGAAGGGAGAAATTATGTTTCATGATTTTTAAAGAGAATAATGGTTCAATCACAAGTTATTCAACTCCCTTAAATTATAATAAATTGTGTAGGGGAATTTACTGAAAGTAAGGATTCGATGTCAAATTACGAAACGTGTAGCTTGACACCATGACCTCTGATGAATAGTGTCCAAAATTTACTACAAACACATAAAATATAATAATGAGCCACTGTCATTTTCATATAATTTTTGGTACAATTCTAAGCTGCTCCAGACCTCATTGCTTTTCTTCCATTTCCTGTCTATTTTTGTACACTTTAATAAACAATAACATAATTGTAAAATCATTTACTTATTGTTTTGTGTTTAAATATTACTAATATTACTATAAACTTTATTGATTACATTATTTCATATAATATATTTCTCAAATAAATACCTAAACAATTTTAATTAATTACATATAAACTCAAAAAGTAAACTTACATAGATTATATCAATTAAAAATGTACATATTCAAATTATATATAATATACATTAACTAAGTATATAACAATATTTCAAACATGGACATAATATTTACTACAATAAGATTAATATTAGCACTATCTTTATAATAAATTTTATACAGCCGGTGTTATGTATTGACCTAGGCTACTATGGCTAATGACAGGTACGCTTTCACCATTAAAGGCTTTTTCTACGAATGGAATGACCTGTACGAAGCACAAGCTTCTGTAGATCAAACCCAGTACCGTTTTGATTTAAATCGTATGGAAAATCTACTCATGATATCTCAACCACTCAGGAACTAATATAATCATAAGGGTACATTACCTATGATGCTTCCTTATATGTTCACACTCAATTAACATTGCAAACACTGTGGCTCCACTAGGAATTACTCTTCCACCTCCTCCCTACATGGAAATGAAGAAAGCAAGTCACGACTTGGTTAATAGTCTAAAATAGTTTCATCTGGGTTCTGGACGTATAAACATGAAAATTTCTTGCAAGCAAACCAATAATATATGTACTGTTTGTAATGTTTTGATCTGTTATCAACGGAGCTTTGATGACAATGACTTGTTTGCTAGTTTTTGAAGTTTCCCGATGTTGTGGACCCCCTCTACAAGTAGTTTCATATTTACAACTAGTTATCAGTCCTGAAACTATTGTCTGATGAAGTTCTGAAACGTTACAAACACAGTACGCATATTATTGGTTTACTTACAAGAATTTTAGAGTGCTGATAAATATTATGAGTAAATTAATATGTGGAGGTGTAAATATAAATATTGTTTTCGATATTGCTGCAAGACCAGCTTAGATCAGTTGGCTAAACTGGAGGGCTGAAATACAAGTTAAAACAACAGTGTACCATTTTTCGAATGGGATGTTAGCTGTTGGTCTTCTATGCAATATGTCTTATGTGCAAAAAAAAAAAAAAAAAAAAAAAACCTAAAAAAAATTGGGGAAAATATTTTTTCTAAATTAAAACAAAAATTACAAAAAAAAAAAAAATGATAAAATTATAAATTTTAACAATTTTTTTTAAATAACAAAAATGTATTAATAAAATAATAATAATAATAATAATAATAATAATAATAATAATAATAATAATAAAAGAATAATAAAATTGTATAAATAAATTCCAAAATCAAATCAAATGTTACCTTTTCATCTGGAGGAAGGAGCAGGTGGTTCCATGCATGGTGTACTGTGTCCAGAATGCCTTCCCCTAGTAAACCACTGTCTAATGTTTCAGTTACAACAAGAGAAACTCTGGAATGAAATCATGAAACCAAGGAACATTAATTGTTGACATTATGAGACAGTTAAATGTTGGATCCAATGTGTAGAAAAAAAAAACAAAAAAAAGAAACATATAAGCAATAAAATGTAATTCTGGTTTTGGTGGTAAAGCCACTGGTGTATCTATCTATTTTTCTTTATTCAATTTCAAATGCCTTACATAAAGTTGCAGTCACATAAAATATTTAAGTATATATTTGAGGCAGATGGGGAGCTGGCACAAACACAGATTCCATCAACCGCTAGCCCCCCCTACAGTAGCAGACTTGAAATCAATCAATCAATGGATTTATAAGGTGCAGAATACAGCAGTCTCTATGCACCAATAAAAAAGACCAATGAAAGTGAAGCAAGTAAGCAAATTGGGTGTGAGACCAGGTGCCATTAGGGAAAAGTCAGTGTGCTGTTCTTCCGCACTTTGAGGCCAGCCGACCAACCCCGCAGAAACATAATGGGGTGGGGGCACTGATGGGGGATTCGATGATTAAGTGAGGGGTCTGCAAGTTGCAAAATAAGGTGATATGAGTGATATTTATCAATGTTAGAGGGGGGGGGGGCAGTTGTATTAGGGGGTGTGCATCACCAGCTCACTCCACTAAATATGCCACTGGGTAAAGCTAACTTCCTAAAGACTACAAAAGTAGAAATATAGCAGGAGGGGTTGACATGATCCAATGATACCACAGTCCACAAACACAGTTTAAAACATGCAGCGTCAGGTAGTCATGTATATTCGAATTGGGGGCAGGATATAAAAACAAATTTCTGACTAACCAACAGACTTACAATTGTCATTTTCCTGGCCAACAATTTTCTTTTTGGTATTATCATTATCATAAGGGGCGGATACACAAATGTCCAAAAGGGGGGCCCGAAAGTTGGGCTGATCGAGACAACACTGTCTTAGGGGGATTTTGGTGTTCTAGATGCCCGAAAATAACATTTGAGGCGTTCTGCGTTATCATTTTTTTCTTTTTCTTTCCAGGCCAGCAACACCACCCCCCCCCTTCCAAATCTGCCCCTGATCATTATGTCATTCCAATATTGATAAAACTCTACCTGCTTGGTAAATTGTCTGGTATTTGCATATCTGTTGACTTCATTTGTAAAATATGTATCTTATCAAGCATCTGATTGGCTCGTAGAACGTCTTGTGCAATGCCTGCCATGGTCTTGGACATCTCGCATGCATACACCTCATTGGCACCAGCCTGAACAGCAAACATACTAATGCAAGAAGAAGCAAAAAACTTTCATACAGATATATAATAATAAAAAGACTACAAGTAATTCATCAGCAACTCAGCAATGTTAATACAGTAATACTCTTAAAAATCGACATTAATATATTCATTATACTATTTCATACAGATTTATAATATAAAGACTACAAGTAATTCATAACTCAGCAATGTTAATATTACTTTTAAAAATCAATATTAATAAATACATTCTTATAGTAGGTGTCTGGGAAATTGGTTCTGCAGGTCACCCCAACGAGGTGCTCAAGACCCATCACACATTAACAATGCAATGTGGTAAAAAAAAACAACATTACAGTCTGGGGTGATAAATGTTTTATAAATTCTCTCACACAAGTATATACAGAGATCCCAAGCATAAAGAAGTCACTTCCGGCATATCTGGTTAAATGAGCTTCTTTAACACATTTGCAACAACCATAAATTTGCGTGGGATATTTGCTTGCTTGCAGGGGAGTGTGGTAGGTGGTCCTGGTTTCTGGAAGAATCCCACGAGTTGTAAAAGACTTGGGACCCCATATTTACAAGTTGTGATGTACTGCAGTGGTGGATCTAGGATACATTTTCTGAGGGGGGTGGGGGGCTAAGCTGTCCGATGGTGGGCTTGAGCTTTTATGCCTGAGGAGGGGAAGGAAATGAGGCTTATTTTAAGTCATGTCATATTTTGGCTTGGTGTAGGCCTATTTTTTAACATTTTTTTTTTTATCCGACTGTCCGATGAGCTCGGACAGTAGGGGGACTTGACTTGGCCGATGGGGGACTTAAGTCCTCTGCCCCCCCTGGCACCGCTGCTGATGTGCTGCAAGTCTACTGTACCTGAGAATACCTGTTCCTGCGCCAATGTCAAGCACGTTCATCGGCCCATGGGCGGTCTTGACCGCCCGGTGAATAGCATCTTTGTAAGCAGTGTTGCGCCATTTGTCATTCAACATCCGAAAGTGCCACCTCTCCACCAGAGCATTCAAGAGATTATTGAGGCTCTCTCGTGCAGAATGTAAATTTGGGTTTAGCTTAAGCGCCTGACGGAAGTAAAGAACAGCCTCATCAGCAAAACCTAATCTGTGCAGAAAATAATAAAATAATATAATATCCAAAAATGAAAATTATAGCATGAAATTATTGTTAATTACTTAAAAAGTTAATTTATTACACCAAATTACTTAACATTTTCAGAGACGGCCTCAAGGAGTTTCTCATTGTATCTCATTTGGATTGGAGAAAATCAAAGTTTGTATCTCGTCAATGGGCACAGAAAATAAGGCAAGAATTTTTTAATACCTTGTTTTGCAAACATATTTTTTTAAAGATCATCAGAAAAGGGTGCAAAAAATATAAAAATAAAATTTTGTATTTTTATTTAGCAAATGGTTTTACCAAAAACATCCAGAATAAGAAACTTTAAACAAAATTTTATTATTGAATGTAAACAGTGTAGTAATGGGATAGTTAAACTTAAATGCTTTAAATTTATATAATTTAAAAGAAATATCATATTTTTGGATGAGAGCATATAAAAATATAGGAAAAACTTCTGAAATTTCTAGTTTTTCGTGGTGGTGGAACAAGGTGTAAAAAAGTATTACCTAAACAAAGAGGGATTCTAACCCAACACCTGTGGTTGAAATGATCCAAAACTTTTTTTTTCATAATAATAATAATAACAGGAAAGTTTTGAAATCTTCTTTATTACCTGTACAAATGAGAGCCCATCACATCTTGTACCCACTCATTATCAGGAAAGACATCTAAAGCTTGAGCATAACATTCAAAAATGTCTTGACACCGGTCTTGCCTCAACAGTTCGTTCACCCATTCTCTAAATACATCACCGAATTCCTTTCGCAAGTTCTGCTTCTGCTCTGGTGACAACTTGAGCGCCAGGAGATAATAAGCGAATGACATTCCATGATGATTGTTTTGGAAATGAAACCGTGCACTATTTAGGGATGACTCGACTAACTGATCTTTCTCCATTTTTTTTTTTTTCTTTTTGCATTTAGGAATTCAAAGTTCATAGACGGACTAGGCCTAAGCCCAGGACAGGTACATAGTAGGAAGAAGCCCTCTACAACTACAAAGAAAGGCTAGCGACCTAGGCTAGACCTACTTCTTTCGTATGTTGTCCGATCGCGCTAGGAATCGGATTGGAGTCATACACACGACAGTTGAAAAGGCCCTACCTGGACCTATCCAGTTGCTCCTACTAGGCTAGCTAACCTAGCCTACACGTGTAGGCTAGTTGTTAGGCCTGTAGTAGGAATATGCCTAGCTAGTCGAAGTAGGCCTACTACTACTAATTAAGCCACACTCTCTCTAGGCAGGCCAGCTCATGCTATCCCGGTACTGTATACAGATTGAACTAGACTAAACCTACAGATTGTTCAGATTTTCTGTGTCTTTGTGGACTAATTATTAGTAAAGAACAGAGATTGCTTTTCCAGCATCTTCCTCCAGTGTATTGTTGTTATCTGTTATTATTAACAGAATGGATCTATGAAAAATCAATACGCTTTCATACAACACTGATTAACCGTAGTGAACCATATATAATCCATTTTTACACAGTGCTAAGTCGATCCAATCCACGAACGCATGCGTAGTACTAGCTGATGTGAATGTCGTCGGCGGCGGTGAGGTGACTGGATGTTGATTCGGTCTTGATTTTTTTTAAATTTCAAAACCAAGCTCTAAAATGAAATATAGTACAGAAATTCCGACACCGCTGGTTAATAGATACTCTATTATATTTGGTTTATATGGTTTAGGGGCGTCTGTTTTGAACAATGGATTAACATTTAGGCCTTTGTGGACAGGTAGGTTTGTGGCCTAGAACTAGGGCCTAGGCCTATCCAGGCAAAGTTTCGGAACTTGGTTAGGGCCTGGCTGCCTGACATACCTAGGCTCGCCGTAGCCCATAGCCGATCATTTGGTTGGGTCATATAGGCTAGGCGAGTAGGGTCGGGGGACTTCTTCGGCCGCCGACACCTTCGGCCGCGCGAGATTTATATGGAGCGCCAGTTGGGCATTTCTCCACACCGCATGCTGTGCAAGCCTTTGACTTTGCTAAACTAAATAATTGCTGTCATGTCGCACAGTAATATTTACGTATTTATTTTAGGTATTGTATGGAAGAAGTGTAAAGCTTCAGTATTTTATTTGTTTTACAGAACAGTATTGTTATTCATTATACAATTTGAAAAAAATACACTACAAAACGCATTTTTTACTGTATTTTTATTCATATTTCGTCAGTTTCCTTCAATCCCTAATAAAAATCAGAATGAGACACAACACATTGTTTTTACTCTTGTTTATTTTGTCTTCCTCTATTTTATGCATGTCCATAATTTTATTCATACAACTTCATGCAAATTATTTATCATTTCGTCGTTTGTAACTTAACTGCTTGTTGGCACTATATCGCTGATTTGTGATGACGGTTGACGATAAAGATGCTTATTATAGCAATAACCATATTTGAAAAAAATAGACTACAAAACGCATTTTTTACTGTATTTTTATTCATATTTCGTCAGTTTCCTTTATCCACAATATAGAATTTCGTCAAATAAAATTTAGAATGATACACATGCACAAATTTCATCCTTTATCCACGAAAAAAACCATTTTTTTAAATAATTTTATTTTTATGTCTGTTGTCTGTTCATGCTATCTTTTCATACAAGATCAGATGTAAAATAACACATTAGCGAGGGTGATGAA